TAAGGTCCCTTCATCCCAAACCACTCCATGAATAATCCCAAGATACAGAGTAAGCTGTGTGGAACTGAGAAGTTCTGTACTGAAAACTTCCTGCAAGGAGAATACACGAGATCCTGGTCTCTGGGATCTCCTGACGGTCAGTAAAAGAAATGCTCTTTTGGTCTGTATTAAGAAATGCTGCTTTTCCTTCCCCTTGCGGCAGGTGTTGTAGGTACCCACAGGACAGTCAAGCTGATCTGAGCTGCCCCATAGTTTCACAGTCCCAACAGTCACTTTTATCACTAGACTTATGATAACACTGCTATAGCTTATCATCAGCCTGTGTGTCTCATCCTTCAGCCGGCCTGACCCCAAGTGTCTTTTCTGCTCATCTGGGTGAGAACAGGGGAAGAAAAGGGCAACAAAGAGCAGGAAAAGGGAAGACACAGACTTGTACTGATGAAAACTGCAGTGCAGAGGAGGCCTGGGCCGTGCTTGCTCAGGAGTGTAAAATGTGATGCAAAAAGGGTCCAGTGTAGCCCCGAATCCAGGCTCTTCCTGCTCGGGGCTCCTCAGCTGATAATTTGGCAGCTTTCAGTGCCCATCTGGGAGCAGCAGACACCAGGGAAGGGAGATGATGCTTTGAAGAGGGGCTCTGAAAGCCAAAGTCTCCTGAAGGCTGCATTTCCATGGTGTGCTTAAAACCAAGCTTGCAAAATGACTTCTGTGGGTTAGGCAAAACCTGCAGCAGCAGTTATGGGAGCAGCTTTAGGGAAGAGGCAGATGGCAAAGGCAGCTTTTGTGGGAGCACCCCGCGGAGAAGAGCCGGGAGGGACCAGTGCTCCCTCTGCTGCCGCAGGGATGCATCCCGCTGTGCAGGCAGCTCGCAAAGGCGACCCGACCGAGCGGCTGGAGGGGTCTGCCCCGCACAGAGAGAGAACTGAGAGGGGCAGAATAAACGCTTTTCATGCCTGCGCTCACGTTGGTTTCCCTCATCTTTACCTAAAGCATCCGCTGTGAGAGAGGGAACTCGGACGGACAGCCTTCCATTGCAGGGGGATGACAGAAAACACAGGACAAAGGCCGTGGAGAGCTTAAAGCAACCGGCAATTCCTGCAGAGCTTCACATCTGAGTTACTGTGGGTAGCAATTGCCAGTGGTCCATGGGCTGCCCTTAGTCCCCTCCCCACCTTTACCACCCCTGGCTGTGTAGCGCTTAGCTGTAGCTGTAGGCATGGGACAAATAGAGCTCATGAGGGCTCCTTAGCAGCTAACGGTCATTTAGTTAGCACCAAAACAGCACCCAGTGGTAGCTGTGCACCATACCCATCAGGCACATCGTGCTGCAGCATCTGCTGCAGATCACAGCGTGCTGCAGCCGGCACGAGGAGCAGAACCAGCAAGAACAGCAGACAGGGAGGGCGAGAGGGGCTGGGGAAGTAGATGGGACTCCCCACTAACACATAGAGGATGCTTGTGCAGCATCCATCTGCTGCATCCAGCTCCTCTCTGCCATGCCATGAACTGGGAATGCTTTCCCTTTCCCTACTGTGAACAGGAGGTGCTTTCCTTTCCCCTCCTTTTTCTCTTGTTCCTAATGTTCCCCAAGATTAACTTTCCCCATCACGACCCCCGTGTGCCACAGCCTGCAGATAGGCATTGGTGTGTGTGAGCCTGGCCTGCCACACACGATGGGAAAGCAGTGTGCCCTTCCCAGGCCAGCAGCCTGCTCCTTCCCTGCATGCCCACCCCATCAGCAGTGCAGGATTCCCACTGAGCACTGACTTCAGGGAACCACAGGATCCCAAAGTGGCTTGGGTTGAAAGAGACCTTAATGTTCCTCCAGCTCCAAGCCCTGCCACAGGCAGGGACCCCTTCCACTGGAGCAGCTTGCTCCAAGCCCCTGTGTCCAACCTGGCCTTGAACACTGCCAGGGATGGGGCAGCCACAGCTTCTCTGGGCACCCTGGGCCAGCGCCTCAGCACCCTCCCAGGGAAGAGCTTCTGCCTAAGAGCTCAGCTCAGTCTCCCCTCGGGCAGGTTCAAGCCATTCCCCTTGGCCTGGCCCTACATCCCTTGTCCCAAGCCCCTCTCCAGCTTTCCTGCAGCCCCTTCAGGCACTGGAGCTGCTCTCAGGTCTCCCCTTCAGGAGCCTTCTCTTCTCCAGGCTGCCCCAGCCCAGCTCTCTCAGCCTGGCTCCAGAGCAGAGCTGCTCCAGCCCTCGCAGCAGCTCCATGGCCTCCTCTGGCCTCACTCCAACAGCTCCACGTCCCTCTTGTGCTGCTGCCCCAGAGCTGGACCAGGACTGCAGGGGGGGTCTCCCCACACAGACAGTACATCACCAGCTGCCAGAGGCACCTTGTGCCGGTGACTCAACAGCCCCTGATACCCCCAGCATCACTCAGTGATACCATCACTATCAGGCCTATTTCACCTTGTCTATTCCTTATCATAATGCCCAGCATCAAAGCAACCCCAGGACCAGTCCTCTGTGATTCCCGTTGCTCCAACAGTCCTATCTTTGATTCACTAAACCAAAGTCAGCCTGAACTCCCCATACACACAACTTTCAATGTCCTTTCCCAAGTACGGTCTCACTGCTCCAGACATCATCTCACCTGTGATTCCTTGCTGTGTGCCAAGGAAAACCACCTTAAATAGGCCAGCCTCCCATGAGCCCTCTTCTTTTCTTTCTACCTGCACTGCCAAAACCCCAAGTGCAGTCAGCTGTGATTTGCACAGCTGGGTTTAGTGATTCAGACAAGGCCAGCACTTCCGCAGCTCTTCCCTCTTCTTCCTTGCTGTAACTACAGGAACGAGCTCTGGGATGAGCACTTACTTAGTTGTGAACTCCATCCGCTGGCACCTGAAGCAAAACGCACCTCAGGAGGCTCCCAAATCTGTTCTTCCCCCCATATCCCCCTGTTTCTGTACCCCTTTGAGCATCCTCAGCAGTTCAGTGCAAGTCCCTGCTGCGGATCAGCTTGCCAAGGTGATCCAGAGACATGGTCTCATGGGGACAACCCAACCAGCTTGTGGGTCCCATGAGGACACCCAACCAGCCTGAAGCCATGGGTCCCATGGGGACACCAGCCAGCTCTTGCCTCAGGGGTGCCAGGGTGCCCCATTGAAGAAGCACAGGGACCCTGAGGCAGCTGCCACAAGGTGGCACTGGCATCTCGTCCCCCAGCCTGGTGACATCCAGCCTGAGGCCCCAGGGTGGGGGCACCCAGAGCATCCCCCAGCCCTGCTGCAGGGTCTGGTGTGAGTTTAACTGTGGGCATGGACAGGAGGAGCTGCGGTGGGTCAGAAATGGGGTGGATACTGGTCACTGCAGGAGCTGTGTCTTGTGAGGGATTTTCCTCTTTAGGCTCTTCTGGATTAGGGAAAAGCAGCGTTTTCTTCTTTATGACATACAACCCAGTTACAGGGCTGCCCCCAGGTCACAGCACCAGAAGCTTCGTGTCACCAGATCTGCCTGATGTGGGTCGGTAACCATCAAGGAGAGGCACATCACCCAGGGGGGTTTGGGTACCACACTCGCCCATCCCATCACAGGGACCCCCGTCTGCAGCTCATCCCACCGCAGGAGCTGCTATGAGAGGAGGCCCAGCACCACAGTGGTGGGGAACACTGGAGCGTGGTGTGTGCTTGCACCTCATGGGTGCAGCCACCTCGGCCTGGCCCCATTCCCCTGCTTTATTTGCAGATAAAGGGTTTATTTTCTTTTCCCAGCGCCGCAGCTGCAGGACAAACACAACGAAGCCTCCTGAGATACCTCCCCCTTGGGCCGGGTGCCTGCGGAAGCGCTGGTGTTTGTCCCTGGGCCTCCTCCTTTGGCACCTCGTGCCTGTTGAGAAACCACAACGGGCTCAGCCCCATGCTGGGCACCCCCGAACCGCTCTGATCTGGGGGTTGTGCCCAAGGTGAGGCCATGGGAAACCAGGAACTGGTCCCTGAGCTCCTCCGGTGCCGAGGTCGCTGCCCTGCCCCACGGCGCTCGCTCACACCCAGGGCTGGGGATCAGGCTCTGGCGTCACTGTTTGGGCTGGGGCATGGCAGCCGGGTTTCACCTTTGAGTGCAGGCGGAAAGGGCCCCGTGGGCCAGATAATCGACTGCAATTAAAGACATTCATTATGCCATTATTACAGGGTAAGATAAGCGCGGGACTGGGTCACCGCTGCTCTTCTGGAGGACGGGGACACGTCTTGGACCCACTCCATGGGTCAATCCTAAACCTGGGCAGCTTCATAGCAGAGCCAAAGGCAAGGAGCCAAAGCAGGACCCAAGAACATCCCCTTCCCGTCCACCTCTGTGCCCTCAGCCCGTGGAAAACACATTTGGGACCTGCGGTACAAAAGGCCAAAGCTACAGCCGACAGCAGGAAGGAAGCAGGAAAAACTCCGGCATCACCGTCCGGAGCCCGCAGAGACCTTTGGTGACACGTGGAGCCGGATGCCTTCAGCCAGGCTCAGGCCATGCTCACAGCATGTGCCCATGGAGGGAGTGATGCTCCCTGGATGGCAGCAGGGAGGAAGCATCTCATGTCCTGGGGTCGGGACTGCGATGCTGGGTGGGGATGTGCCCCATCATCGGGGCTGTGATGCCACCAAGGGGCTGCCCTCAAAGCCACCTCGGCACTGGCATGGGTGGGTGCACCACGGATTGCCCCCAACACTGACAGTGCTCAGAGAAGAAGCAATCGTGGACCCACAGGAGACAGCCACCTCCTTTAATTCCCCACCAGAAACGCAGGGTTCAACTATTACAGGGTTTTAGCACCAGGAAAACCCACTGGCCCGAGTCAGGAAGCTGCTGGGAGCCCACCACCAGCTGATGTGCGCAGGGAGATGGTGAGTTTGTCTCCTTGGAGACCCCTGCCACCCTTGGGAGCCCACGGTGGGCAAGGAGCTGCTTCTGCTCCTGCCATCCCCCTGGGGCTGAGCCAAGGTGGGTCCGCAGGGGGGGTCTCACCCCACCAGGCAGGAGCTGTAACCCAGCCGGGATGTCCCCACGCTGCTCACCCCCACGGGGACACCGGGCGGGTTTCCCAACCGCTCCCACAAGGAGCAGGATGCTCAGCAGCGACGTGACCCCAAATCCCCCGGCTCCGGGGGGGGAGAAGGCGCCACGGGTGGGCTCAGATCATGGAGACCCTGTTCTTGATGTAGACGTGGTACGGGTCGCTGCGCTTCTCCACCTTGCGGGAGCGGGTGTAGCCCAGGATGAGGCTGCCCACGGTGGCGGCAAAGAGGGTCATGACGAAGAGGATGTACAGGAAGGCGTTGTCGTCGCGGCCGGGCCGGGCACTGCTGCTGCTGCTGCTGCTGCGTGTGACAGCAGCGCCCGCAGCGCGGTCGGAGGCGCACAGCGGGATCCCGTGTAGGGTCTGGTTCAAGGCATCAAGCACCGCCTGCAGGCTTCGGTGCCAGGTCTCCGTCTGGTTGTGCTCCTCCATGGCCTCCTCTGTGCTGTGGGAGGGAAGGAGCAGCTTGGGGTGATGCTGGGATGTCCCACGGGACCCAACCAGGACCCCAAAATGGTCCTTGAGTCACAAAATCCCAGAGTGCTTTGGCTTGGAGGCACCCTAAAGCTCCTCCAGTTCCAAGCAGTGGCAGGGACCCCTTCCATAGAGCAGCTTGCTCCAAGCCCCTGTGTCCAACCTGGCCTTGAACACTGCCAGGGATGGGGCAGCCACAGCTTCTCTGGGCACCCTGTGCCAGCGCCTCAGCACCCTCACAGGGAAGAGCTTCTGCCTAAGAGCTCAGCTCAGTCTCCCCTCGGGCAGGTTCAAGCCATTCCCCTTGGCCTGGCCCTACAGGCCCCTGATGAAGAACCCCTCTCCGCACCCTCAAAGCACCTCCTCTGCCACACAGCAAGGGTAGGAGTGGGGCACCCAAACCCTTTGTGTTCATGGCAGCCCCCTCCCTCAATCCCACTCCTTCCATGGAGGGGATGAAGCCCCCGCAGCTTCAGGGGTGCCTCCATCTCCTCCCTGGGGCTGAGGACGCAGTGGACACAGACGTCCCAGGGGCCAGGATGGTTGGGTTCACAGCCTGCTTTCCCTAGAGACATGCAGTGACAGTGAGCACCACCCATGTCCTGCACCCAGATCCAGCACCCAAGGGACCCCAGGAAGCCGGCCTGGGGTCCCCCATTCTCAGTAGCAGCTCCAGGATGGATCCTGCCATGCATCCACACTACTCCAGGCTAAGTTCCCTAGGGCAAGGAGCTGCAGTGGTGCTGGCAGGGGGTCCAGCACCCCATGCACCCCTCTGGATTCATCCCAAGGGGTCGCTGACCTAAACCCACCCCAGGATTTCCCTCCCCATGGATCCCAGCACCCCCCAAACCCCACGGGGACACAGAGCCCCTCTGCCAGCCCACCCCAGACCCCCACATGCCCTATGCACCCTTGAGCACCTTCACACCTTGCTGGGGCTTTAGAGCAGGCACAGATGGGACACAGGGACACGGTCCCCTGCATGTGCCACCCTTTGGGACACAGAAACCACTGCTGTCCCCCCCCGGGGTGGCCACCCCCTGGTCCAGAGCACCCCATGCAGGCAGCACCAGCAGCTCTACCCCATGCACAACCTCCCCATAAAAGGGTGACCCCAAACCCGTGCTGCACCTCCGCGGATGAGACCCCAGCAGTGAGGAGGAGGAGGAGGAAGGGGCTGAGCAGCCACGAGTCCACGGGGAAGGGCTCGGGGCCGCGTTTGAAGCAGGAGGAAGCTGAATTGGGGGGGGGGGTAGGGCAGTTAAAGGGGATAAAGGACCACGGGGGGCAGCGGGGGGGCCGCACTCACCGGGGCCTCCTTCGCCTGCGCTGCTGCCCCGCGGAGCCGGCACTGGGGCATCGCGGGGGCCGCGGCCCGGGCGGGGAGCTCCGCGCTGCCTCCTCCCCTTCCCGGGGCAGAGCCACCTGCCCGGGGCCGGGAGAGCCGGAGCCGCCGCTTCCCCCCGCCCCACGGCCGCTCCTTCCCGCCCCTCCTCCGGCCGGCGCCGCCGTCACCGAGCCCTGCACCGGGCACCGGGGCTGCTCAGGGCGCGCTCCTTCCCCAGGCTCCATTGCCGGAGCTGAGCCGGCTCCACGCAACGGGAATCGCCCCTCTGCTACCTCCCAGCTGCCCACCCGAACCCTCTGGAGGCTGCGGGGCGGGGGCACCCATGGGTGGCTCGCGGGGATCCCCAGTGCAGAAACCCCAAAGCTTGTGGGGCACAAAGAGGACCCGGAGCAGCGGGTGAGAGGGGATGCATGTGGGGCTCAGGTCTGGTTCTGAGCAGGGCGCAGGGGCTTTATTTGCCATTTTCCATCTCTCCCATCTCGGACACATGCAGAGACTTGGGATGGGTCATGGTTGTGCCATCTACCAGCAGGGAGAAGGCTTTGGGGAGCCCAGCCCCTCCTGCCCACTGGGAGAGCTGCAAGCATCCCCAAGGGGCAGCAGGCAGCTCTGGAAGCTCCACCCCATGTTGGCTTCTTACCACTTAAGAAACCCACTGATGAAATCAGTTTGTGTGTCTCTATCGACAGGTTTGCATTGATGGGCAGGACCTTGGTGCCATCGCAGCCCTGGGATGCTGCATCCCGTCACTGTGAGCCCACGTTGATGCTGTGTATGGAGCAGTCATTTCGGAGGTGCCAACACCATGGAGCCAGCAGGAGCAGGTCCTCATTACCCAGGCCCAATCCCATGCTGTGTGGTTGGTCCCATGGGATCTGTGATGGCCACAGCTCCTCTCCCTGGGCATCCCAACCCCTTCCCCTCCTCTTCCGGCTTTCCCACATGGGCATCCATCCAGTGGTCTTTAATCACCGCTCACAGCCTCTCATTAGCGATTGTTCCTCAAGCACATCACTTCCTCTGGGCTGCATCAGCCTTCCAGTGCCTAAAGGGGCTACAGGAGACCCGGAGAGGGGCTTTGGACAAGGGCCTGTAGGGCCAGGCCAAGGGGAATGGCTTGAACCTGCCCGAGGGGAGACTGAGCTGAGCTCTCAGGCAGAAGCTCTTCCCTGTGAGGGTGCTGAGGCGCTGGCACAGGGTGCCCAGAGAAGCTGTGGCTGCCCCATCCCTGGCAGTGTTCAAGGCCAGGTTGGACACAGGGGCTTGGAGCAAGCTGCTCCAGTGGAAGGGGTCCCTGCCCGTGGCAGGGGTTGGAACTAGAGGAGCTTTAAGGTCCCTTCCACCCAAACCAGGCTGTGGTTCTATGATTTTCCAGCCACCCAACACCACAGCGAGAATCCTTCTTTGCCATGTGAGGGTTTCTCTGGGTGCAGAGCAAGGCTGTTATTCACTAAGTCCTGGGGAAAATGAGCAAAGGATCAGCAGTGAAGTTCCCAGCAACTCTCTTTATAGAAAATCTGCCTCTTTACGCAGCAGCGAGGGAAGGATGCTCGACCCCCTTCTTGTCATCCATTGGGGGTGTGAGTGCTCACCCAAATCTGGGATATTTAGGAGAAAACAGGCAGAGATAAACCCACAAAAGCACCTATTTGAGCATCTCCCAAGTGCGCAGCGGGGATGTGGTACCCATGGAGGTCTCGACCCATGGAGCTGTGGACAGCAGCCCTGATGGGGGTTTGGGTGTTTAAGCAACAGCCTGACCCTCTCTGTACCACCGCAGGCAAAGGCACTTTGCAGTAAAGCCCCAGGTGGCTCCATCACCACCACCCCAGGTGGCTCCATCACCACCACCCCAAGGGCTCCATCACCACCACCCCAGGTGGCTCCATCACCACCACCCCAAGGGCTCCATCACCACCACCCCGAGTGGCTCCATCACCACCACCCCAAGGGCTCCATCACCACCACCCCGAGTGGCTCCATCACCCACCATTCATCACTTCACACCAGGACACCAGGACACTGGAGTTCACCAGGGCTCCCATCACGGCTCTCTTAGTCCCCGGGCTCCTCCGAGAAGACCAAGGTGCAGTCAAAGACCTCCCGGAAGGAGTCGAGGAAGGGCTCGAGGACGTGCTCCACCGGGACGTGCCGGCCCAGCTCTCGGCTCAGTGAGGTGACCCCTTTCCCCTCCAGCCCGCAGGGCACAATGTGCTCGAACCAGCTGAGGTCGGTGCAGCAGTTCAGCGCCAGCCCATGCGATGTGATGTGGCTCCTGCAGTGCACCCCTGCCCGGACAGAAGCACCCCCCCACCCCGGTCAGCACCCACTGCAAGGGCACACCATGAAGGGGGGCTGTGGGGCATGGGGAGAGGGACAGGGGAATGGGGGGGGGGGGGGTCCAGGGGACCAGGCTGTAGGCACTCAGCTCTGGAGTGCAGGGTGCTGGGCCCTGCTTTGGGGTGCCTCTGCTTGGGCTGCACCCCACCGCACCCCATAGCACACCCCCCAGTGTACCTCCCACCCAAAACACACCCCCCCATCCCCAATGCATCCCCTCGAGGGCACCCCCCGGTGCACCCCCATCCGGTATAACCCCCTTTCCCCTCCACACTCACCCCCATACACCCCTCCCCGGGGCATCACCCCTGCTCTAACCCCCCCTTTCCCTGTAGACCCCCCCAGTGTTCACCCCCCAGTTTATCCCCCCATAAACCCCTCCCTGCTGCTCCCCCCCCCAATACCCTTCTCCCCAGTACTCCCTCTCCCTGTGCACACCCCCCCACCCCCAGGTACAGCCTCCCCAGTGCCCCCCCCCAGTACAGCCGCTTCCCAGCACACAGACCCTCGGTGCACGATCCCCCCCGAACCCCGCCCCGATGCTCTCCCCTCGATCCATGCTTCCCTCCCGCTAAACCCCACCCCCGGTCCAGCCCCGCTTCGGTGCCTCCCCTTCCCGTTGCGCACCCCCCGGTCCCCGTTCCTCCCCCCCCCCTCCCGTAAACCCATCTCCGGGTCCCAACGCTCCCGTTGCTCACCCTCCGCTCCCGTTCCCCCTCCCCCTGTAAACCCATCCCCAGGTCCTTCCCTTCCCGTTGCGCCCCCCCCCGGTCCCCGGTCCTCCCCCCCCCACCGTAAACCCATCCCCCGGTCCCTCCCTTCCCGTTCCCTCCTCTCCCGTTGCGCAGCCCCGGTCCCCGTTCCCCCCCCATCTTAAACCCATCCCCCGGTCCCTCCGCTCCCGTCCCCCCCTCCCGTTCCTTCTCCCCCGTTCCCTCCGCTCCCGTTCCCCCCCTCCCCTCCCGTCCCCCGTCCCCCACCCGGTCCCTCCGCTTCCGTTCCCCCCTCCCGTTCCCCCCCCCGGTCCCTCCGCTCCCGTTGCCCCCCCCGTTCCTTCCCCCCCGTTCCCTCTCCCCCGCTCCCTCCGCTCTCGTTGCCCCCCCTCCCGTTCCTTCTCCCCCGTTCCCTCCCCTCCCGTTCCCCCCCCCCCCGGTCCCTCCGCTCCCGTTCCCCTCCCGTTCCCCCCCCGCTCTCTCCGCTCCCGTTGCTCCCCGCTCTGCGGCGCTCACCGATGGCGCAGACCTTGCTCTCCCCGAGCCAGACGCCGGTGAAGGGCGGCGGGAGGGCGCGGGCTGCGCCGAGGCCGAGGCGGCGGCAGAGCCTCAGGCCCAGCTCCTCCAGGGCCCCCACGTAGCGGCGCAGCGGGAGGCGGCGGCGGCGCAGGTCGAGCACGGGGAAGGCCAGGAGCTGCCCGGGCCCGTGGAACGTGACGTGGCCCCCGCGCCGCGCCGCCACCAGCGCCGCTCCCCGCGCCCGCAGCCCCGCGGCCGCCGCCGGCCCCGGCGCCCCCCGCAGCCCCCAGGCGTACACGGGCCCCGCCGGCTCGCTCAGCACCAGGCTCTCGGCCGCGGCCGCCCGCGCCGCCGCCACGCAGCGCTCCTGCACCCGCAGCGCCTGCGGGTAGGGCCGCAGCCCCAGCAGCAGCACCCGCACCGCGCCCGGAGGCATCGCGGGGCCCGCAGCGCAGCGCGGAGCACGGGGACCGGGCCGGGGAGGGGGGGGCAGCGGCAGCCGGGAGGAGTCGGGCGGGGAGGGAGGGGAAGGGGGAGAGGGGCAGGGACGGGGAACGGGGCAGCTTGCACAGAGCATGGGGGGAGCAGGGCAGGGGGGACAGGGATGTGAGCAGCAGCGGGCGCGGGGCTGGGGGCCTCAGCGTAAGGACATGGAGCTGCTGGAGCGAGGCCAGAGGAGGCCGCGAGGATGAGCAGGGGCTGGAGCAGCTCCTGTATGGAGCCAGGCTGAGAACATTGGGGCTGTTGAGCCTGGAGAAGAGAAGCTGCGTGGAGACCTCAGAGCAGCTTCCAGTGTGTGAAGGGGGCTGCAAGGATGCTGGGGAGGGACTCTTCATTAGGGACTGCAGTGACAGGACAAGGGGTGATGGGTTCAAACTGAAACAGGGGAAGTTCAGGTTGGAGATAAGGAAGAAGTTCTTTACTGTGAGGGTGCTGAGGCACTGGAATGGGTTGCCCAGGGAGGTTGTGAATGCTCTATCCCTGGCAGTGTTCAAGGCCAGGTTGGACAGAGCCTTGGGTGCCATGGTTTAGTGTGAGGTGTCCCTGCCCATGGCAGGGGGTTGGAACTGGGTGATCTCGAGGTCCTTTCCAACCCAAAGCGTTCCATGATTCTGTGAAGGACTGGGGACAGGGATGGAGGACTGGGGAGATGTAGGGATGGAGGATAGGAGATAGGGGTAGGGGGCAGGCAGGGAGGATCGGATGGGGAGAAGGGACAGAGGATGGAGGACGGGACAGGGATTGGGGAGAGGGGATGGGGAATGAAGACAGGGGAGGATGGGGGATGGAGACAAGGGATAGGGAATAGGGGACAGGGATGGGAGAAGGGGATGGAGGTGGAGTTACAGGACGAGCACAAGGGATGGGGATGGGCATAGAGATCAGAGGGGACAAGGGTACAGAGATGGAGGATATGGGACAGGCACAGGTGATGGGGGGACAAGGACAGGAATGGGGAAGGAAAGGTGCTAAGCACAGTGAATGGGGACAGAGACAGAGGACAGGGGAATAGAGGACGATAGTTTGGGGCTGGGGCATGGGACATGGCCTGAGACAGGGTACGGGGGTGCGGTATAGAGGACGGGACGGGGACAGGGGGATCACACTTGGGGACAGGGCAGAGATAGGAAACAGGGCCTGGGGAGGGGGATAAGGCACAGGGATGAGACTGGGGACCTGGGGGTGGCTGATAGGGCCCAGGGCTGCAGTAGGGGAGAGATAGGGCCCCATCACCGCAGGGTGTGGGACACAGAGCACCAAGAGGGAGGACAGGGCATGGGGACACCGTGTCCTGGTGGGGATGGGGTGAACTGGACCTGCTCAGGATGGGGTGCCGCTGATGTTCTGTGCTGGCACCTCAAGGGCATGGGCTGTAGATGAAGTCATTGTGCTGCTGGTGGGGGCCACAGTTTCTCACCCTGCGACTCCCACTTCTCATTCCCCATGCAGAAAATACACAGGTCTGGGCGGAGCGCTCCTGAGTCACCCATTAAACCCTGAGCAAACCATTCCCAGCCCAAGGTCCTTCCAGCTCCCGGCTGGATAAAGCCTGTGACAGCGCGGTTTGAGTTTATAGAGCGTCCTGACTGCGTTCCTGAGCTCTCGGGGTTATGCAGACTGCACCTCCGAGTCCTGGAGAGCTCATTGTGGCCTCTCTGCTCCTAAAAGGGACTTACAGGAAAGATGGGGAGAGGCGTTTCAGCAGGGCCTGTAGGGCCAGGCCAAGGGGAATGGCTTGAACCTGCCCGAGGGGAGACTGAGCTGAGCTCTTAGGCAGAAGCTCTTCCCTGGGAGGGTGCTGAGGCGCTGGCACAGGGTGCCCAGAGAAGCTGTGGCTGCCCCATCCCTGGCAGTGTTCAAGGGCAGGTTGGACACAGGGGCTTGGAGCAAGCTGCTCTATGGAAGGGGTCCCTGCCCGGGGCAGGGGTTGGAGCTGGAGGAGCTTTGAGGTCCCTTCAACCCAGCCCATCCCATGTTTTATGATCTCCCCTTTGTCACCGCAGGTAATTCAGCTGTTGTTTGACACCAGCAATAACGTCTGTGGGGGTATTTGCAAGGAAGGGAAGGCCCATCCCTTTGGTCTTGAAAAACGAGTTCTAGAGTGAATGACTTAGGAGATTAATATAGCCTGGGGGGAAATACAGATGGGGAAAACCCCACCATAAACCGCGCCAGGGGTCATGGAACCATGGAACCAACCAGGTTGGAAAAGCCCTTTAAGCTCATCCAGTCCAACCGTTCCCAGCACTGCCAAGGCCACCACTGCCCCATGGCACTGAGGCCTCGTCTCCATGGGGTGTGAACCCTTGCAGGGCCGGTGCCTGCAGCCCTGCCCTGGGCAGCCTGTTCCAATGCCTGAGCACCCTCTGGGGCAGGAATTGTTCCTCAGCTCCATCTAAACCTGCCCTGGTGCAGCTTGAGGCCGGTTCCTCTTGTCCCATCCCTTGTTCCTTGGGAGCAGAGCCCAGCCCCTCCTGGCTCCATCCTCCTCTCAGGCACTTGTAGGCAGCCATCAGGTCCCCCCTGAGCCTTCTCTTCTCCTGTTGGAGCAGCACCCAAGCCTCCCCACCTCAAGCACCACTTGAGGGGCTGCTCCATGTCCCTGCCTTGGCAGGACGCGCTCGTACCTTGCACCATCATTGTGTGCGTTGAGCCATTTCCTCTTCGTTATGATTAAGCATCAACTTCTTGCCTGCAGATCAAAGGCAGAGCTCTTCCTTTTTGGCTCGCCCCGGCTCTGCCTGCGTAAGATGAGGGGGGTTCGTGTGTAATAGCTCTGGGATCCTCGTAAGCACCACGACAGGGATGAGTGGGGCTGGGGGGGGGATATTTACTGTCCATATCCTGCTTTTGAAGCAGGAAGGAAATGGGGCTGGAAAGGGGCCGTGGATGGCTCCTGCTTTCTCCTTCTGCCAGGCTCTGAGTGCTTTTAAAGTGGGTTTTCCCTTCCTCACGGGGCAATGGGCTCCTCCGGCGCAGCTCTGCCTTTGGGTGCCTGAAACCTTGCGGTGTCAGAGCCCGTTTCCCTGGCACAGGGGCCTCCCTCGGGGAGCTTTGGAGCTTGATGCACATCGGGGCTTAACAGCGGGAGGGGAAGGGGAGGACAAAGGTGGTGGCTGTGGAACAGGTGCCTGGCAAAGGGAACCGACCCAGCCCATGGAGAGACGCAGGCGGATGCAAAGGTCTTGGCTCTGGTGAGGTCCGGGACCAAATTCCTGTTGACTTTGGCAAGGCTGGGGTATCCCAGCGGGGTGATGGAGCTCTCCCGGGCTGCCCTCATCCCATCCTCCTTCCAGGCAGGTTGTGTCCACAGCCCCCCCGGAACAGCGGGACTATCGGCTGCTCTGCCGGCATGTACGGATGTGAATCCTTGGAAGCAGGAAGGGCTTCAACACATGGGCCTCAGCTTCGGAGCTGCACAAGCCCAGGTGAAAAAGCCCATCCCAAAGATGCATCCTTGGATGTGGTTTTGGAATCGTTCCCTTCTCCCATAGGGCTGGATGGAGCTCACAGGTCACCTCCTTCCTTGCCCTGGTGGGGTTTGAACTGGAATGGTCCTCCCTGCTGACACTGGCTGGGCCTCCATGATGTGCAGTGATGGAGAGGTCTCCTGGCCTGGTGCTGGGAAGCCTGAAGCCATGGATTTCTTTTTCCATGATACCTGTTCCTGTGTGATGCCTTGGAAGCATCAGCCAAGCTGCCTACACGGGACACCAGCATCGAGCCCTGCACACAGCAGCTACCGCAGCTACGGTTACCTGCAAGGCCGAACATTCCCACTACATCTAATTCCATCGGGAACCTTCCCCGAAGTGTGCTGGGATGGAGTCACTCAGGCTGAGTTCGTTCAGGCAGGATCCCGGTGGCGGCTGTGGGTTTCTGTTGTGCTTCTCTTGGTCCTCATCATCTTCTGACCCATCTCGGAGCCAGTGGCCACAGCTCCGCTCCTCCGAGCTTCCCGTGTTTTCCACTGCTGTTTCCATTCACTCACATGCACTGTTTGGTCTTCAGAGACCCCAAGTGAAGATGCTCTTGTCTCCTGTTTGTCCCTAACTGCTGCTCAGAGGTCACCCTGGCCTCTGCCAACCAGCGTGGCTTCATAGACCCACCAAAATGATGCCAGTGAGGTTAAAGACTCACCACAGCATCGTTTAGGATCACAGAATCATGGAATGCTTTGGGTTGGAAAGGACCTTAAGCTCACCCAGTTCCAAGCCCCTGCCATGGGCAGGGACACCTCACACTAAACCATGGCACCCAAGGCTCTGTCCAACCTGGCCTTGAACACTGCCAGGGATGGAGCACTCACAACCTCCCTGGGCAACCCATTCCAGTGCCTCAGCACCCTCACAGGAAAGAACTTCTGCCTTATCTCCAACCTGAACTTCCCCTGTTTCAGTTTGAACCCATCACCCCTTGTCCTATCACTGCAGTCCCTGATGAAGAGTCCCTCCCCAGCATCCTTGTAGCCCCCTTCACACACTGGAAGCTGCTCTGAGGTCTCCACACAGCTTCTCTTCTCCAGGCTCAACAGCCCCAATGTTCTCAGCCTGGCTCCATACAGGAGCTGCTCCAGCCCCTGCTCATCCTCGTGGCCTCCTCTGGACTTGTTCCAACAGTTCCATGTCCTTTTTATGTTGAGGACACCAGAACTGCACACAATGCTCCAGGTGAGGTCTCACAAGAGCAGAGTAGAGGGGCAGGATCACCTCCTTCGCCCTGCTGGTCACGCTCCTTTGGATGCAGCCCAGGATACGGTTGCTTTCTGGGCTGCGAGCGCACACTGAAGCCGGCTCATGTTCATGTCTAAGGTATGTTTCATGTTCCATTTCTAAGAAGGATCTTCTGGAAGAGCTCAGTTAAGGAGTGGGTTTGGATGCAGTGGGGTTGCATGGGGACAGCAGGCCTATAAGGGACAATGGACACATCTCCAGGTGAGACACCCCCCCCC